CTCCTGTAATCCACGGCCAGAGCGCGAGCATCTAAGAAGCCTGTAGGGAGGAGGACATGGGTGACAGTAAGTCCGTGCAGAGCTCAGGAATGCGCTTCGATTTCACTACCCTCTCTAATGCACTGTGTATTTCACTTGAGGCACTTTGCTGCCGTGTGATATTACTGAAGCTGATAGCCAAGTGGGTGTCCGAAAGGACTGGACGTTTGTGTGCGTGAGAATAGCATCTCTGCTTATCTTATCGGGATAAAACTGCCAGGGTCATGAAGCCTCTTACTCCAGCATGTGAGACGAGTAAGAGGTTTCATTAGCTGCGCTCAGAAAGGAAGAATTTTTTTCCTATTGGCCTCTATCAGTTACGGCTGGTGGGGATTAGCCGGGCACTTTGCAAAAGGACCATCCCCGCAGAACAGCAGGATGCTGTGTCTCCTCAACGCAGAGCTTAGCACCGTTTTCCTCTTCCCAGGTCCTAACCTTTACCCTTTATATAAACAGATGTCCAGCCGAAGGACGGAGGACAGTGACAGAACCAAAACTGCTGGGCCAAGAAAGCTCGAAGCTACAGAAATCAACAAGATAAAATGCAGCCGACGGCTGATTTTTTTTTTTTAGGCTTCTGCTCCCTACTTGCAGCTTCATGAGACGATAAGCAATAAAGCAGAGAATGTCACAGCACAGTGAAGCGCTGGACCACTTTGCTTGACGGGGTCTCTCGTGACAATACAGCCCTTTGTTGCAGTGCAGTCAAACTGAATATCTAAACAAATGTTCCCGACCAAGTTACAGCTCTGAACCAAAGCCTGGATGCCAGCAATGTCCCCAGCAAGCCAAAAGTGGGTGGTGAGCAAGCCAGAGGCTTCTTTACTGGAGCTGTGATCTCCATCCTGTTAACTGGAACAGGACAGAGGGTCTGTACTGAGGTCTCGGTACAAATAAGACCTTTGTTGAATTTTGCACAGGGCTCCCTCTCTCTTCTTATAACAACCAAGAGGCATAAAAAAAAAAAAGAAAAGAAAAGAAAAGAAAGGGAAAAAAGCCTTGTTTATCTGCAGAGTCCCCATGCAGAATTCAGCCTCTGCAGGAAATGTATCCCAGGGAGGAGGTAAAGAGTTTAATATTGTTTTTTTGGAAGCAGGCTTAACTTCTGAGCAGGACTAAGCATGTCTCTGGCTCGACAGCTTTTCACTGGGTGTGCGACACCGACGGCGGTGCTGTCCCTGCGGGCCTGGGGGACTTGCCATCCTGCATACCCCAGCCTGCCAAATGGATGCACGG